ATGAAACTTTTTGGGGTTGTAAAGGAACGATTGAGGTTAGGTTCTGGGACTTTTCTGCTATATTTTGGTCGCGTTTGGTTAGTTATAATGGGTTTCGACAACATTCTAACAGATATTGTTTTATAATTTAACAGTGTTTGATAAATGTCTCCAAAATTTTGATGAGCTTTGCTAATTTTTAATGGTTCCTGCGTTTTTCTAATAGTTTCTAGGCAAATTACACCAAACTGTGGTAAGAATTGGTTGAATTTACTTAATTTCACACGATTTAGTAACATTCTAACAGATGTTGCTTTATGATTTAGAATGATCAGCACGATTTAATAAATACTTTCTAAATGTTGGTGGTTTTTGCTAATCTTTAATGGTTCCTGCATAGTTCTGATAGCTTTTAGGTATGTTACACCAAATTGTGGTAAGATTTGGTTGTATTTACTTAATTTCACAAGATTTAAGAACATTCTAACAGATATTGCTTTATGATTTAGAATGGTTAACACGATTTAGTAAGTACTTTCTAAATGTTGGTGGTTTTTGCTAATCGTTAATGGTTCCTGCGTAGTTCTGATAGCTTCTAGGAATGTTACACTAAATTCTGGTAAGATTTGGTTGTATTCACTTATTTTCACAAGATTTAGGCACATTCTAACAGATTTTGCTTTATGATTTAGACTATTCAACAGAATTTGATAAGTTTTTTCAAAATTTTGAATGTTTTTATCAATTTTTGATCATCTCTGTATTTCTGACAACATCTGGGAGTTTTTTAAGTTATTTTAGTAAGATCTGAGATTGTTTAAATAAGTTAGTGACGTTCTGGATTAATAATGATCGCTTTTGGAAATTTTGATGGTTTTAGACAAAGTTATAGCACATATGGCTTACATTTTTGCCAAGTTCTAGCGAATTCCGACTATTTTTAATTAATTTTGCCAGGTTCTGGAAGTAATAGCGGTCGCTGTTTGTGAAGCTTGTTAAAAAAAATTTGAATGCAGGATTTACTAAATGCTTCTTTAACTTTTAGAGGAGGTTGGCTAAGCTCAGAAACGAAATAGCTAAATTCTAGTGGTAACTTCACTTTGGCCATAAATAGTTTTAGTATGTAATCATAAAATATATATAAGAATAAGTACACGACCAAAAGTAGTTTGAGGTACTAGAATCTTTTAAATGATGAGATAGTTCCATATGAAGTCGATATCCATGGCAATAACAGTGACAATGATGATCAAATGTCAGTGAATTTGCAAAAACTATGGGAGGTGCGTAACTATATGGACATTGTGTTGCAGTATGCAGAACACGACAAGAATTAGACGTCTGAACAAAAAGAAGTGAATGGATTTGAACTTTGGAACATGACGACGATTTTAANAAATTCTAAGTATTTTTAATTAATTTTGCAAGTTTCTATAGTGGTCGCTGTTGGTGGGGTTTGTAAAAAAAAAGTTAATTCAGGATTTACAAAGTGCTTTTTTAAATATTAGAGGAGGTTGGCTAAGTTCAGAAACTAATTAGGTAAATTCTAGTGGGTTGCATAAAAAAAATTTATGATATTGACTTAGTTCTAAAAACGATGAATTAATTTTGAAGAAACCAGTAAAATTTCGAGTGTAAAAGCTGACAAAGAGATTTTGCGTAATTTGCAACAAATTATACCAATATATATATAAGCCTTTACGAACCGTTATAATTGAATATTCGTGGTTATTATTCTTTATATATCCTTTCAAGGAAAGCATTTAACATTTTAATTGTTTTAATTAACGCAAAATTTCTTCTATTACGATTTCCTTCCAGGAAATGTGGTATATTCAGATCCGTTCCAGAATCACACTAAAATAGTTTTATCAAGCGTCTATTTTCTAGACAGTTGTTAAAAGAATCTAGAGAATGTTTGAAAACACTTCATGTGGATTAAGATTACGATCGTTGTATGTTCGTGAGCACGCCAAAGTTGACCAAAGCGATCAGATCTCAGCCACGACACAGGAAGCGTATCGAAAATAAATCAAGTCGAAACAGGAAATTGCCAGTTGTGCAATCGATGGAACTAGAGAACGGGTAACCGGTGACCGCTCCTCAGCTTCTCAATACTATACCGGTATCTCGGCCGTGTCACTAAGAACACGAACCTCTTACGTTACATAAGTACTTCATACCTGTTGTTTATACACAACAAAAAGATTGTTTTTCTTTTTTGAAATTTATTCGGTTAATAATTTAATAAGGTCATAATTATGTAATAAAACTTCAAAGAGCTTTTTTGTCTATTTATTATCCGACGTTGTTTGAGTAATAATATACAGGAAATAATATATAAACTAGACCCTGCGGAGACTAGAATCGTTTGAAAGGAGGAAAATCGAGATAAATAGGCTACTTCTTCGATTTACGATTATTTATGATATTTTATAAGAAAACGTAGGTATTATGCAAAATAAATTCCTCGATATTAAAACGTCCGGGATATGAACGTAAGGATATCCTCACAGCCAAAAATAATAAATAGGAATGTTTTAAATATGCTAATTTGCTTAAAAGAAATTAATCCCCGATACAAATTGACTAGAATTCTTACAAACATTTAATTGACTTATAATGACTAGAACATTTTTTTTACATCTAAAAACAAATTCAAGCGTAAAGAAAGTTGAAAGAGTAATTCCGAATTACAGGTACAAAACGTTATTGTTAAACTGAGAATACTTTTTGAAGTTTTATCACAATTCAGCAATGTTCTAGGAATCTATCGTAGTTTTAACAATTCATTCAGCATTTAGATATGCAAAGCCTGATAGTAGTGGTTGTTTGTGGTAGTTTCTTTCGAGATATGCAAATTTATTTTTCACATTTCATTATAGCGTTATGAATCATCGACATAAGTTATTGATAAAATAGCTTTTGAGAGATCACACATCTACCCAGTACTCCTTTAGCACAGCAGGACAGGTTGCTTTGCTACGCCTTGGCTGCATTCAACTTCCACCCATTCAGGTGAAATCATCCTTTTAGCGTCTTGCAACGCGATATAGACGTTACATTACTCTAATGAAAGATTATTTATGCTCTCAGGCGAAATATCAAACTTCGCTGAATCTGGAACTCGTAAGTTTTGTATAGAGTGCAATTTAGTATAACAGCCAATTGATCAAGACGGAATTAGTTATGGTGGAACAAACTTCTAATTAAATCTTCACTTTGGCCATAAATAGTTTTATTATGTAATCATAAAATATATATAAGAATAAGAACACGACCAAAAGTAATTTGAGATATTAGAATCTTTTAAATGATGAGATAGTTCCATATGAAGTCGATATCCATGGCAATAACAGTGACAATGATGATCAAATGTCAGTGAATTTGCAAAAACTATGGGAGGTGCGTAACTATATGGACATTGTGTTGCAGTATGCAGAACACGACAAGAATTAGACGTCTGAACAAAAAGAAGTGAATGGATTTGAACTTTGGAACATGACGACGATTTTAATAAAATATAACATAACGTTTATTTGCTTATTGCTGTACGTAATCGTGATGAAATTGCGTTTAGGAATTTCAAAATGAAACTTTTTGGGGTTGTAAAGGAACGATTGAGGTTAGGTTCTGGGACTTTTCTGCTATATTTTGGTCGCGTTTGGTTAGTTATAATGGGTTTCGACAACATTCTAACAGATATTGTTTTATAATTTAACAGTGTTTGATAAATGTCTCCAAAATTTTGATGAGCTTTGCTAATTTTTAATGGTTCCTGCGTTTTTCTAATAGTTTCTAGGCAAATTACACCAAACTGTGGTAAGAATTGGTTGAATTTACTTAATTTCACACGATTTAGTAACATTCTAACAGATGTTGCTTTATGATTTAGAATGATCAGCACGATTTAATAAATACTTTCTAAATGTTGGTGGTTTTTGCTAATCTTTAATGGTTCCTGCATAGTTCTGATAGCTTTTAGGTATGTTACACCAAATTGTGGTAAGATTTGGTTGTATTTACTTAATTTCACAAGATTTAAGAACATTCTAACAGATATTGCTTTATGATTTAGAATGGTTAACACGATTTAGTAAGTACTTTCTAAATGTTGGTGGTTTTTGCTAATCGTTAATGGTTCCTGCGTAGTTCTGATAGCTTCTAGGAATGTTACACTAAATTCTGGTAAGATTTGGTTGTATTCACTTATTTTCACAAGATTTAGGCACATTCTAACAGATTTTGCTTTATGATTTAGACTATTCAACAGAATTTGATAAGTTTTTTCAAAATTTTGAATGTTTTTATCAATTTTTGATCATCTCTGTATTTCTGACAACATCTGGGAGTTTTTTAAGTTATTTTAGTAAGATCTGAGATTGTTTAAATAAGTTAGTGACGTTCTGGATTAATAATGATCGCTTTTGGAAATTTTGATGGTTTTAGACAAAGTTATAGCACATATGGCTTACATTTTTGCCAAGTTCTAGCGAATTCCGACTATTTTTAATTAATTTTGCCAGGTTCTGGAAGTAATAGCGGTCGCTGTTTGTGAAGCTTGTTAAAAAAAATTTGAATGCAGGATTTACTAAATGCTTCTTTAACTTTTAGAGGAGGTTGGCTAAGCTCAGAAACGAAATAGCTAAATTCTAGTGGTAACTTCACTTTGGCCATAAATAGTTTTAGTATGTAATCATAAAATATATATAAGAATAAGTACACGACCAAAAGTAGTTTGAGGTACTAGAATCTTTTAAATGATGAGATTGTTCCATATGAAGTCGATATCCATGGCAATAACAGTGACAATGATGATCAAATGTCAGTGAATTTGCAAAAACTATCGGAGGTGCGTAACTATATCGCGTAACTATCGACGTTGTGTTATAGTATGCAGAATACAACAAGAATTAGACGACTGAGCAAAAAAAAAGTGAATTGATTTGAACTTTGGAACATGACGACGAATTTAATAAAATATAACACAACGTTTATTTTCTTATTGTTGTAGTTAATCGTGCTAAATTGCGTTTAGGAATTAAAAAATGATACTTTTTGAGGTTGTAAAGGAATGATTGGGGTTAGGTTATATCAAATTTTAAGGGAAACTTGTTGAATATGCTTATTAGCAGCTTGTTGGACAATAATCACATAACCACATTGAACATTGGAGACTCATATTCGATGAAACCACCATACCTCTGCATCTAATCAAAGGGATGCCAAGATTTAAAAAAAATAGGTTATAGTCTTGTTACTTGAATACTTTAACGTAAAACATGGCTTGTTAGAGATACTTCGAAAAAAGCAGAAATACTGAATATGTGAGATCATTTGTGATGTATAAACAGAGAACAGCAAGGTTCTTAAAATAGAAACCAGAGAAACACCGGAAATAAAGCTCGCGGGGCTTGAGTAATAATCATTCTCCTTTACGAGACATGCTCGTCTACTTAAAAATTCCTCAGTAAGCTCAACCACAATACTCGACAACCTACATATGATAAAATTGCCAAAAATGTTTGATGATAAACATTAGTTTCTAGAAGCGTAGAAAATAGTTGTTTATGTTGATTTATTTTTGGCATAATATGATTTGTCTTCCAAAATTTGCATGTGACACGATCTATAAAAACGTCCTGCATATCAATCACGAGACTATCTATGAAAGCGATCTTAAAGCGAAAACTATGTTTAACGGGGCCATTTCGTATATTATCCAATTATTTCAAGAAGTGGGTCATTTAATGTGTTTAGTACCCATTTTAGATTTTAGAAAAATATTTACTGAGCATAAAAATTTATTATGCCATTGAAACGTTTCCCACATTTTTGCTAAAAACAACTTGAGAAAATGTTGTGCAAGACGATGTAATTAATATAATAATTTTGGCCATCTTAGTTTTTTCAAAATTTTGAGAGGCTTTATTTGAACATGCATATTCTTGGTATCTTTTGGAAAGTTTTTGCTGAGCTCAAAATTAACTTTCGATAGATTCTACTAGAATTTGCTTATTTCTGACAACTTCTTTCTTAATTCTAGTCTTAAACTTTATGTTTTTAGTAAACACTTTGAACCTTGATGTAATTCAGAATTACTCTGTATAACACAACATTTTAGTCCCAAAAAGAATGTTCACCATATCCAAACCCTTCATCACTTCGATAAATCCCATACCCAAAGTCTTCATTTAATAGATCCTTTAAGCCTTGAATATACCTAATAGCGTACTTTAAAGTTTTTACTTTACTAACACGTTTCCCCCTGCACAAAAGCAATACAAAAAGAAATTAAAAACTTATTTTGACACCTACGATTTTTGGGTTAAACCCCAAAGAAACGATCGTATTTCAACTCCACCCAAGAAACTCTACCTGTTATTATCCAAAGGTATAGCTTTTCTTAACTTGCTAAAGGCACTATTCACTGCTTGGACTCTTCTTCTTTCCCGCGCGTTCCTCTTAGCCACAACCTGAGGCGGCTTCTCGCTGTGGGGCACGTGAATGTACTTCTTGTTCTTCTTACCTTCATCACCCAGATTTTCTAAAGTCTCTTCGCCTATTTCTTCTAAGGACGACGTTTTTTCTTTGAAATCGTCCGCATCTGGTTCCATTGGCGCCGTCATATGATCGTTTCTTTCAAACCACTCGTGGACATTATCCCAGCGACCCAAGTATAAAGTTTGGGTCAAATTACACGCCGACGACGACATTTCGTATCTTTTCTCTAAAAAGTTCTGCGTAGGGCTTTTTTGGCCGCCTAAAAATCGACTGAAGACATCGTCATTATCTGGTATCAGTTTTAAATGGTTAGAACCCGCATACACCTGGACTCAAAACTAGTAGGTGGGGTACTTAATTTATGAATAAGGATGGAGTTGCATTTTTTTTGTTGTTTTCGTGAAGGTTTCAGCTGCCCATCACGATTTTTTAAAGGGCTTAATATTACGAGTCAATTGGTTAGTTATTGTTTTCAAAGCAGATGGTTGATCTTTAAGTTTATTAACACCTGGAGGGTTTCGGGGTGCGTTATAGTGAAACAAAAAGAAAATTTTCGAGATTAAGAAATATTTTAATATTTAAATATTTAATGAATTAAAAATTTCAAAATTTTTGGGTTTTGAAATATTCAACGCCGCCATCTATTGGGGTTAATCCTCAAAAGAAGAGGAAAACTATTTTAAACCAAAAATTTACGATTTAATCTCATTGATTTTAAGAAATTATCATTTTATTTATAATTTTATAATTCCTTTTATTTTATAATTCCAAAATATTCGTTAAAAAACATTTTTTTGTAAAAATGTTTATATAAAGTTCCTCTCTTTCACACTAGATGGTGCTAATTTAAGAATTATCTTAACCTCACTTTTAATTGTCATTGACACATTGTGCAATTTTTAAGGTGAACATACGCTCAAAAAACCGACAATTATTTAAGAATTAACTTAAATAATGGTACGTAAACCCCCATAATCTCAAAGAATACAAATTATTTTCATTTATTTAATTCAGTCGGAACGTAAAGGTTCATTTAAAGTGGAATTTCTGCAAAAAATCGAGCGTGAAGTTCAACAACGATGGAAAAACGAGAAAATCCATGAAATTGACGCTCCTAAGGATCCAAAAAAATCTAACGACGAAAAATATTTGTGTACATTTCCTTATCCTTACATGAATGGAAGGCTACATTTAGGGCACACATTTTCGTTATCTAAATGTGAATTTGCTGTTCGTTTTCATAGGTTAAAAGGTAAGAATGCCTTATTTCCTTTTGGATTTCATTGTACTGGGATGCCTATAAAGGCATGTGCTGATAAATTAAAAAGAGAAATCGAATTATTTGGAAACCCACCCGTTTTTCCTCAACTCGAGGAACAAGAGGAAGTAAAAGATGATGATGTGGTTATTAAAGATAAAAGTAAAGGGAAGAAAGTAGGTTTGAATTATATTTTTTTTAATTTTGTGATTTTAATAAATATTTTTAGAGTAAAGCTGTTGCTAAAACTGGAACTGCTAAATATCAATGGCAAATTATGCAAAGTTTAGGAATGAAAGATGATGAAATAGCTAAGTTTGCTGATACCAGTTATTGGTTGGATTATTTCCCTCCATTAGCTGTTGATGATTTGAATAGTTGTGGGGTACACATTGATTGGCGCCGAACTTTTATAACAACAGATGCAAATCCTTTTTATGATCAATTCGTACGTTGGCAATATATTCGTTTAAAAGAACGAAATAAAGTCAAATTTGGTAAACGTTATACTATTTATTCTCCTAAAGATGGGCAACCTTGTATGGATCATGATAGATCATCAGGGGAAGGTGTTGGTCCTCAAGAATATACTTTAATTAAAATGAAGGTTTTGGAACCTATTCCAGCAAAATTGAAGTAATTAATTTATTTAATATTAATGTTGATTCTGCTTAATAGGGACAAAAGTTTATAAATGTATAAAACATGATAAATCCCTTCATACTACCTATGTTGTGTTCTAAGCCAGTGTTTCACAAAGTATGTTGGTATTAAAGTCCCTAGATTATCAAAGTACCCGCCATTTTGGCTCGAAAATCAAGCGGGAAATTTAAAACTATGTCGTTCTGTTGATAAAATTACCCCAAATTTCCTTTATTTTTTTTCTCGTGGTACTCTGAAGAATTAAAACCCTTCTTACTGCTATTTTTGCAACTTCAAAGGCAACAAGACGGCATTATTACACGTTCACTTTTTATAAATAAGTAGTGACATGCACCGACAAGCTGTCAAACCGCCATTTTGGCTCGAATAGTTCGAATACATAAGCTTCATGGAATGCGGTACTTTGGTAATCTAGGGACTTTAGTTGGTATGTCACTGAAAAATGTCAAGTTTTGTCAGAAAGTGATACACCTATGCTTAAATGAGAGTAATACGAGTAAGGAGCTTCGTTGCGGGAGGAGTCCCGTCTTACTACAAAAGCTATTGCTGCTCACATGCGCATGTCAGTGTGACTTTGTAACGCTCCTCCTCGCTTAGTCCTTGTTGTCACGCGCTTTTGTATACAAAAAAAATACCGTTATTCGCCCGTAACTTGCCGCTAGTTTTTGATTGTGTCGCCGGGAACGTAATTGATTACAAATAAATAGACCAAAATACGTAATACAGGGTGCGGCAAAACTCCCTCCCTAATTTGAAAGTTCAATAAAAAACAGATGGTACAAATTAACGAAACTGTATTAACATGAATGGGAAGCTACGTTATTATGTTTTACAAGTTTCTCTTTTTAAACAGTATATCGTTCAAGTGTTTTCCTTCGTTATCAATACATTGCCGAATGCGAGTTCTCAAGTTCGCCATTACTCTAATCAACATTTCTTGAGGAATACGAGCAATCTCTTCTTGAATCGTTTGTCGTAGGGCTGGCAAAGTCCCCGGACGATGTTTGTAAACATCAGCCTTAAGAAACCCCCTTACAAAAAAATCACAGGGAGTAAGGTCTGGAGATCGTACTGGCCAGTGGATGTCTCCGCGCAAAGACATCAAGCTTTGTTCTGGGAGGACAAAACCTGCTTGTGTTAGCAGTGGCCCCGTCCTGCTGAAGCCACACATCCTGTTGAATCTGTATCGCATTGAATCGTGGTGCCATAAAAGTTTGAAGCATTAGAATGTATCTATCCGAGTTAAAGGTCACTGTCACTCCTCCTCCTTCTTCAAAAACGTACGGGATAACGCCTGTATAATGGAAAAATTCGTTAAACGTAGCGTAAGTTTCTCAAGTAATGATTCCCAAGAACACGCAAAGTCAATGAAGAAAAAACCTATGCTTGTTTATCGAAAATATGATGAGAGCTGTGTCAGTTATGGCTTTATATGTTGCGGAAACAAATGCCTAATCCCAAAATGTCTTGTTTGTGAAGAAACTTTGGGTAATAATTTGATGGTGCTCAAAACGACAAAGCCTTTTTTCAACGTTTGAAAGACCAGTCTAAGAAACAGGAAACTCTCATGAGTTTGTCTTTGAAAACATCAGACGAAGTGCAAAAAGCAAGCTACGTGATCGCTACTATGCTAGTTAAATACAAGAAGCCTCATTCTCCCGTTAAAACTTTAATTTTACCTGTCTGCAAAGAAGTTGTCAAGATTATGATTAGCCAAGAAGCCGCTAAAGAAATCGAAAAAATACGTACATCAGCAGATACGATTTCATGTCGCATTAATGATGTTTCTTGTGACATTGAATGTTAATTGAAAAATTAAGGCTTAGTGGAGTTTTTGCGCTACAAGTCGATGAGTCTACTGATAACCACTGATACGTTCATCTTATCTTAAATATTTTGTCTGCCACTATCCGCTTCTACCACTGGAAAAGAAATATTCCAAGTAACAGGTACCAATACTTCAGTGAGCATAATTTGGAATGGCACAACTGCATAAGCACTTGTACAGATGGAGCAGCAGCTATGACAGGAAAAGTTAAGGGATTTGTAATCATGGCTTCTGAAAAAAAAACCTAATATTAAAAATTTACATTACTTTTTACACAGGGAACCACCGATGACGAAATCTCTGCCTAACGAATTGTTGTATATCTTACAAGAAATTATCAAAATTGTTAATTACATAAAGTCGCGACCTCTGAACACTCGTCTGTTTAATTTGTCAGGAAATGAAAATATCAGTCACTTCTGTTTCATACAAAAGTACGATGGTTTCCTCACGGAAAAGTGCTTTCTCGGATTTACGACCTAAAAAATGAAAGTCAGAGGGTTTTACAGGCCCAGAGATCACATTTTGCTTCTCTGTTTAAAAAAGAAGAATGAGTAGCAAAACTCGCATATCTGGTGGACATATTCGCTAATTTAAATAAGCTCAACAAAAAATGCATGCAGGAATTGTACTATTTTAACGTCATTGGACAACATTGAAAATTTTCGCGCTAAGTTGGAGTTATGGATCAGTCACGCTATCAATGGTAGTGTGAATTGTGTAATGAAATGTTCCCAAATGACATGGCAGCCGATTTAGAAAAAATGTTCAGGCTTTGATAGTGAAACACTTGGACTTATTAGCAGAAGAAATGAACAGTTATTTTCCTAAGTGTGATCTGCAACCTATGGACTGGGTACGAAATCCATTCTCAGATAGCTTTACCCTTGGACACTTACTGATAAACGAGCAGGAAAATTTCATGGAGATCGGAAATTAAAACTAAAATTTTCCGAAATAGAGCTAGCATATTTTTGGCTGCATATAAAAAATGAGTATCTGTAGACATAATCTGTAGACAGGAGACTACAACAACGCACTGAAGATGCCAGGTGAGATCTTGGTGAAATGTCTGCCCCTTTCCAGGGGAATCAACACGAAGAACGGATGAAATCTCGATCGCCCACAACAACACTACGCATTACCATTAATAATACATTGTATTAAATAAACATTGTTTATATCTTTGGTGTACCTCTACAATTTCTTGATTTGGTAGGTGTACCTTGAACATAAAAACTTTGCGGAACTCAGTTCTAAGTAAATATAGTGGCCAAATAAGTGTGCATCTCGGAAACTACTCCTTGTAGAGCCATATACAAAAAAACAACGTTTTTAGTCTAAAGTGCTACGTCACTTTTTCTTAATAGTAACTCAAAACTGACCCAGTTTCATCCTCGGTATATATGTTTTCGAAGAAAAACAGAATGTAGATGCCGTAACTGATACTACAAATCTATACTTACAAATGTTATTCCAAAGAAATGACAACATAATTTTTGTGCAAGATGGACTTCTGCACATTTGAGATGATTTAAATAAAAAAATCATTAATGCATAAAGAATAAACGTCGTCCAATAATCTAGTACACAAGATACGATTATTGTTTTCTTGACAAATGCTTTCATTTAGTGATCTAACCAATCATATCACCTTTTTTTATAAAACGTGTTTGTGTTAATTCTTCCGCAATCCTTTTAAATTCCTACGTGTTCGCACACTTTCTTCCTATGTATGGGTAACTCATGAATTTTATTATTGCACTACGGAATAATACAAAAAGCGAAATCTTAGTCGGCATCTTTGATGTGGTGTAACCCGTTTCGTTAACCTTGCGCGTGTTAACGCTGTGATGAGAGAGTTAAACGGAGTTGGCCGTTTAAGGCATTTGTTACAGAAAAGGAAAACTTAATAAACCACTTTTAACAATTAATATTTTATTTCGATTTAAGTCCATATTAAGCAGAATCGACAACATAATAAAAACAATCCAATTACTTTAAATTTATATATTTTTTAGACAATTTTCATCTAAACCAATTTATTTAGTAGCAGCAACTTTACGTCCGGAAACAATGTACGGTCAAACAAACTGTTGGGTTCGCCCCGATATGAAATACATAATCTTCGAAACCGCCTCAAACGAAATTTTCGTTTGCACTTCGCGTTCAGCCAGAAACATGTCTTATCAAGGGTTCACGTCTAAAGAAGGCGAAGTTAAAGTTCTTGCCGAAATTTTAGGGGAAGACGTTTTAGGTGCGGCTTTAAAAGCCCCAATGACGTCTTACCAAAAAATTTATGCTTTACCGATGTTAACGATTAAAGAAGATAAAGGAACCGGGGTAGTCACGAGTGTTCCATCAGATTCACCGGATGATTACGCTGCATTGGTTGATTTAAAAAATAAAGCCCCGTTTAGGGAGAAATATGGGTTAAAAGATGAAATGGTTTTGCCTTTTAATCCTATTCCGATTATAGACGTTCCCGAATTTGGAAATCTTTCAGCGGTTAATGTTTATGAAAAATTAAAAATTCAAAGTCAAAATGATAAAGAAAAATTAAGGGAAGCCAAAGAAATGGTGTATTTGAAAGGATTTTATGATGGGGTGATGCTTGTTGGGGAACACAAAGGGAAAAAAATCCAAGATGTTAAAAAATCGCTTCAAAAATTTATTATTGACCGCAAAGAAGCTGTTATTTATTACGAACCTGAAAAAACGATCATTTCTCGTTCAGGTGATGAATGTATTGTTGCTCTTTGCGATCAATGGTACTTAGATTACGGCGAAACATCGTGGAAACAACAAGCGGGGGTTGTTTTAACTAAAATTAATTGCTATCATGATGAAGTTAGAAGAAACTTCGAAGGATGTTTAAATTGGTTGCAAGAACATGCGTGTTCTAGGATTTACGGTCTTGGTACAAAATTACCTTGGGATGAATCTTGGTTAATCGAATCATTATCTGATTCAACAATTTACAACGCTTATTATACAATAGCTCATTTAATTCAAGGTGGTAGTTTCAAAGGTGACAAACCAAATGCTTTGGGGATTAAACCCGAACAAATGACCCCAGAAGTTTGGGATTACATATTCTTTAAAACATCCCCTTATCCCAATAAATGCGGAATAAAAAAGGAATCTTTAGATATAATGCGAAGAGAATTCGAATATTGGTATCCAGTTGATGTACGCGTTTCTGGAAAAGATTTAGTTCAAAACCATTTAACTTATTTCTTGTACAATCATTGCGCAATTTGGCCTAAAGATGAATCGAAATGGCCCAAAGGTGTTCGAGCAAACGGACACCTTCTTTTAAATTCAGCGAAAATGTCGAAATCCGAAGGGAATTTCTTAACTTTGCGTGAAGCCGTCGATAAATTCAGTGCTGATGGGATGAGATTGTGCCTAGCTGATGCAGGCGATTCGATCGAAGACGCCAATTTCTTAGAAGCTGTTGCAAACGCGGGAATTTTAAGACTTTACACCTTTATTGAATGGGTTAAAGAAATTTTAGGAACTCAAAAAGCTTTGAGAAAAGGAGAAATTTCTACTTTTAACGATAAAGTTTTCCAAGCTGAAATCAATTTGAAAATCAAAGAAACCGAATCAAACTACGAAAATATGTTGTTCAAAGATGCTTTGCGTACGGGATTTTTCGAAATGATTGCTGCCAGAGATAATTACATAAAATTATCAGCTATGGATGGATTAAATTTGAAACTAATTATGCGTTATATTGAGGTTCAAGCCCAGATTTTATCGCCGATATGTCCTCATGTTTGTGAACACATTTGGGGGCTTATTGGAAAATCGTCGAGTATTGTTAAAAGTTCTTGGCCTATAGCTGGAGATGTTGATGAAATTTTAATTAAATCAGCTGAATATTTAATGGAAGCCGCCCAATCTTTTAGAGGACATCTCAAAAATTATTTAACACCACCTAAACCATCGAAAAATAACCCAAAACCGGTTGCACCATCAAAACCGGATATGGTAACTATTTGGGTTGCCAAATCATTTCCACCATGGCAAAGTTGTGTTTTAACTACAATGAAAAATTCTTATGAGGTGAAAATTAATAAATAAATATACATTATTTTGAAACAATATTTAATTTTCAGAAAAATGGTAATAAACTCCCAGAAAATAAAGTTTTATCAACTGAGCTTTCTAGTAAACCAGAATTAAAAAAATACATGAATCGGGTTATGCCTTTTGCACAAATGATTCGCGAAAGATTAGATCAGATTGGGCCAAAAGCTTTCGCTTTAACTTTAGAGTTTGATGAAGCAGAAGTCTTGAAGACAAATCATGTTTATTTGGCGAATACTTTAGACGTAAATATTAACGATTTCTCAAAAATATGTGATTGAAAAACTTTCTTTTTAGGTTTTATTAGTTGATGTCCGCTTCACAGACGAAGAAGGCATTTCTGACAGCTTAAAAGAAGTTCGCCCAGGAAAACCACACGCTTTATTTAGCACAATGCCGGGAGTTAACGTTTTATTTACAAACCCCATCCCTACAAACGCGCTTTTTCAACAAACCGTTAAGATATCAAACGGGGATTCGTTCGAAAAAGTTGTTAAGAAGTTAACTAGTACGAACAGAAACATAAAAGACCACAATTTAGTGGAGCTTTATTCTTTCGACGATCCCATTTTGGGGGATAGAAAAACACCAGTTCATACAAATCCTTTCCAAAGACAAACAAAAATATCCGAAGATTCCACATTCGAGGTGGACGTCGATGCCAAAGTTGTGAATGTTTGTTCTAAAGGGGGAAAGAAATTACAAATTGGAAGTTCCATTTCTTATTTGTACCCTAAAGTTAAATAAATTTTAATTATTTAATATCAAATTTTTGAATGAGTTCCTAAAATCCTTTAAATTGCGTCCCAATATTATCATTTAATCCCCGCAAAATGTCATGAAAACGGCGTTTCCGCTTTAGCGAAGACAAAGGCCGCATCTTTCAGATGTCAGTTCGTTGAAGGGGAATTAAATTGGGGGGACTTGAATTGGAGCGGAATGGTTCGTTAAATAAATGAAGGTGAACGTATTTTAAATTGAACAATCACAAAGATGTTAGAATTTGGCTGCAAAGAAAATTAAGGCGTTAAGGATGTATGAGGAGAGAAGGTAAAATATACTTTATTATTATCAATTAAACTTGGAATTTTTAGACAAATGGTGCTTAAGAACAAAATAATGTATTATATTATTAATTTGCAAACAATCATAGTGAAGAATTAAAAAGAGAAATTGTTAATTTTTCTTCTAGGATATATGGTGTCTACTATGACTTTTGGACTAAGCAGGAAATTTTAGAAATTTCGTGTCTAGTTGTAGGTTTACTTCAAAACAACTAAGGTTCATTACTACCTTCTTTTAATTGAATTTATCTTATAGATAAAGTGATCTTGTGTTTTACACAAGATTGTGTCTTACTTGTGTAGTAAGAATACAACACTTGTTGAAACACTACACACAGTGAAAATCCTATGATGTTTTTCCAGAATAATTTGCGAATTTTCTCGCCGATATATTTTTAAGAGTGGAAAACAGAAAAAAACGAATACATCGAGAAAAATGTTTGAAAGATAATGTTTAGGTATCGTTCGATTCCTCGTCTGTATGTTTAGGTTATTTTTTTCTTATCACGCAGTTTGTAGTTGTGTTTCAGGCACACTTCTAGTCCATGATGTATGTACATCTGCTTCCAGAGCTGCGTGATGTTCAGTTCTCATGCGTATATGAACTTCTGTACAGGTAGCCAGATCAATAATTAAAGGCACAGTTGTATTTATTGGTAGTGTAGTGCATACATCAGCTTGGTTGCTGTTGCTGGAAAGCAATTGCGCCATGACCTGATTTTTCACAATTTGCAATGACTTACCTGCTAGTCTGAAAATCCAAGATCATCAGACACAGACTTAACCTCCTTCCAACACTCTCCCAAAATTTTAAAGTCGCTCCTTTGCTCCAGCCCATCCTAGTATTATATCGCCCTTCTGCCTGCTTCCAGCTTGTATATTCGGCACATTGTGTCCTCACTGTATATTCCGATGTCTCTCTGCTCAACCCCAGGAGCCACTTCCAATATCTCTCCTGGACCTAACAGTTCAACAGTCATCGCGAGCTTGGTCAGTATTCACTGTCGGTACATTATAACACTTAAGTAGATTGTTATTTGGTCAATGATTAAGGTTGCTCCTTAATCTAGCAACCTTAAGAAAAAGCTTTAATGTATTTGAGTTTTATAATTCTCCAGTATCATCAAAAACATTTCAAATATTCAACAATTTAAAGTAGCAAAAGTATTGAATCATGTTTAAGTTCTTATTCGTCAAAGCCTGATTTTGTCACCCATGCATTAAACGAATGTTGAAAGGAAATTTGGCGTACTGTTTTGGTTTGTAGTTTTAAATTTTCTGCTTGACTTTCGAGCCAAAATGGCGTCAAACGGCGGTACTTTGTAAATCTAGGGATTTTATTTTTGGAATTTTTGAGCGACATCTATTAATCTATTAATAGTGTAACTACACGTACTTAAGATTGAAACCAAATTGAAGCTGGTTTGCAACTCAGCTTAACAAATTATTATATCGAGTGGCTCGAATAAATAAATCAAATTTTCCATTTTTGAAAATATTTCAGAAAATAAAACTCCTTGTTTGGGCCACCCTGTACAAAAATTTCGTTGCTATGTAGAGCTTGATTATTATAGAATGGTGATGACTCAAAATTATATCTTGTGTTTTGCACTAATAAGAATATAACGCTTGTATTGGTTATTTTTTTTTATCACGCAGTTTGTAGTTGTGTTTCAGACACACTTCATCTGTCTCTTCTAGTCCACAATATACATCTGCCCCTGTCATGACTGATTTTTTGCAATTTCCAATGACTTACCTGCTAGTCTGCAAATCCAGGACCATCAGACACAGACTTAACTTCGTTCCAACACTCTCCCAAAATTTCGTCGTATTTTATCGCCCTTCCTCATCCTCATCTTCTCCAGCTTCAACTCCTCTCTCACTATATATTCCGATGTCTCTCTGCTCAACCTTAGGACCCACTTCCAATATCTCTCCTGGGCCTAACAGTCTAACAATCATTGCGAGCTTGGTCAGTGTTCACTGTCGGTACATTCCAACACTAAAGTAGATTGTTATTTGGTCAATGATTTATTTCCTTAATTCAGCAACCTTAAGAAAAAGCTTCAAGGTATTTGAAAACATGAGTTTTATAATTCTCTAGTGTCATCAAAAACATTTCAAGTATTACAACAAATTATTATACCGAGTGGCCCAAATAAACAAATCAAATTGTAAATTTTTCTAAAAATTGTAGAAACCTGTAGAAAAATTTTATTGGCCGAATTTCAAACCTTACTATTTGGTAATTACAGATGGTTTGAAATTTAGCTAATTTCTTTTAGTTCCGCTATTGAATAAGAGACGAATTTATTGGAAATTTTTGTGCGGCATCTATTAACTAATAGTGTAACTACACGTAGATAGTAAAGATCCAAACCAAATTAAAGATGATTTGCAACTTTACTTAACAAATTATACCGAAGGCCCAAATATCCATTTTTCCAAAAATTTCACAAGATAAAACTATTTGTTTGGGCCAGCCTGTACAAAAATTTCATTAGCCGAGTTTCAAACCTTACCATTTGTTAATTATAGATGGTTTGAAACTTAGCTAATTTCTTTTAATTTCGTTATTGAATAAGAGATGTCGTCGATAATTTCAACAATATTTTACTTATTAGAAAAGCTTTATTTAAAAAATTTAACTTTAGCCAATCTAAAACCTGGTACTTCGAATTGTGTGCTTATGAGCTACACTATTCGGCTATAAACGAAGTTTAAAAGATAAGGGTATATTGTAGGTGCAATGAAATCGATTATTTAACTTATAAAGCAAATAAAAATAACATCTTTTTGTAGGATAAATCATATATTTCATCTTCAATAATTACATAGTCCTTATTGGTGAAATACATTCAAATACTATTGGCTTAACAGTTAAATAGATATTACACAGGAGCAATGTCACATTTACCATTCGATTTTTTTCATCATTTACCCAATTCGCTCATTCATCGTTCATACATACAAATCTGGTTCATATCGATTTAAATTGTTCGCGTTGTTTTAGAAAAAGTATTTACAATTGATATAGTCGCATATATAAGAAAGTAATGATTAATAAAAAGTCGCAGATTTCTTTACAATATATAGTAATAGGTATCTTTTTTAATTTTTAAATTTAATTACATTTATTTAATTAATTTATCCTCTTTTTATAATCACAAAGCGATTTTAATAATACTACAAGTCCCCTTTTTATGTTGGTTTGTTCCGTTTTAATAATGATGTATACGCGTGGTCTTCTGGTATTCTTCTTGTCACTGTGGTTAAAATTTTTTATAAACACCGAGAAGCGTATAAATAATGGTCAGTCTGAATCTCTCCTTTAACTTCTAAGTCTTTTGTCTTAGTTCAGGAGATTGTCATCACTTACACTTGTTTTTTTTTTGTTTTATAATTTAATTTATGTTAAAGCACCGTTCACACTAGGATTTTTACATATATATATTTTGTGTTGATGATGATGAGATATAAAGAGAGTTTTCCCCGCAACTAATTATTATAATGTACAGAGAGATCACATAGGACGCCATGAAAAAGTCTCTTTGATAGTTAATTAATTTAAAACATTTAATTTATCAATATAATTAAAAACAGAGATCTGTTTATTCAAAATAATTTATCAATTTAATAATAGAAACGAGTCATTAGCTATTTTTATTTTTTAGGTCCACTTTTGCCCCAAACGAGTTTTGGAAGCCCTTTTTTAAAATAAAGCAAATATATTAATCAATAACAATCCTATTTTCTTTTCATTACTTTTTGTTTATAAGGCACTGATTTGTGTTTCTTTTTTCTTGTTCTTGTTTCATTTTTCCAAATACTATTAACCCTGTAGCAACCATATTGGTTCCGTTCTCTAGCATCCCACCAGTGCCATTGGCACTAGTTTAAGCCATTCTCAAACTTCCGTACCATCCTCTCCTTCGTCTTCAAATAAAGGTCCAGTTGAAGTTCTTTTCTTCGGTTTCGGAGGTGGTCTTGGTGGAATTTTGGGTGTTTTTCCTTCAGGGGTGGGAAGAAGCGAAGCTGTTGATTCTCTCCTTGAATCCGGGAGTGGTTCTGGACTTCTCATCCAATTCGCCCTCATCGTATCCACGTTCGGCGTTTGAAGTGTTCGATGATTTGATAAACTCCTGGGTAGGGTTTGAGACATTTGAGACATTTTTGGACTCGTTTCGTGGTGTTCCGCTATGGGATCTATCGGTGATAAAGGAAACTGTCTCGTGTTGTTAGCTTTGTTTGGGGTTGATGTCTTTGTTGGATCTTGCAATTTATTCAATGATAACACCGAACTTCCGGTCGCCGTCGTTCTTAAACCCAAATTATCGTATAACGGCTCACCAATATCCGATGTTGGAGCCTCAGAACTCCAACTTTGTCGTGGTCTTCTCGGCACCGTTACGTATCCCCCGCTTCTTGGTACTCTTGCGGGAGGTGCTTGAGGAGCTGTAAACGGAGAGTGCGACCTTGAATACGGAAGGGTTCTGTATACGTCGTAGATAGGGGTATGAACTGGTGACTGAGGAGCATGATAAGCTGGAAGACGAGATGTATCTGGAACTGTTGATGCTGAACTTCCAGCTGGAGATACTTGAGGAATCGTTCTGTGCGCGAATGGAAGTAAATCTGGCGGATAATGCCCTTCTCCTCGATAATCCATGCTTAAGTGACTTGGTGGTTTTGAATTATATCTTGAGTCGTAATCAGCTGAGCGGAGATCTTCATCGCCTAAACAAAAAAATAATAATTATTTTAAAGAAATTAAATTAAAATCGATTTCAACAAGATTTTAATTCTTACCATAAATCGAGTCTTCATCTAGCATTTTCTTAGTTTCACTAACTTCGGTTCCACCACTGATTACAGAAGCGGGAATTTGAGGTTGTCTTGGTGGTTTAACTACTGGATTAACTTCTGTAATTAATGCCTTTCCCATTTCCGTGGTATGATCTAAACTTAATTCGAATTCGTTGCTCTGACTCAAGCTGCGATTTTTCGCCATAATATTATCATCTCTTCCTGATTTCCTACAGCAGCAATACGTCAATATGAAGATGAGTAATAATAAAATTACCGCTCCTATTGATAATCCGATGATTAATGGCATGATATTAACCGTTCCACCATCGTAACCGTCGTAGATACTCATATGGCGAAGAGTAATGTTTCTTTCATCGACTCCGCCGGGATTTTTAGCTACGCATTTATAATCCCCTCGATCTCTGTGATTAAAATTAACGATTGTTAAATTATTCCACACTACATTTCCCGATTTTGATGTGGTAGTTATATATTTTTGCACATTTTGTCTTGGATCTCTATCGATTATTCTCCCATTTGTGACCCAATCGATATCCGGTGATGGTTCACCTTTAACTTTACAAGTTATCGTGTAATTAATAGAAGTAACTTCTAATAATGCCGCCGCGCTTGGTTCTAAAATAGTTGGACTGCAAGCAAATATAAGCTTATCAGTCCAAAGACGTCCTCGAAGCCTCTCCGGTTCTTCACATCGCGTATACGTTGTCACTAAACTCTTATTAGTTGCGTTTTCGCGAAATTGCGCTAAATTACAGTCACACCTCCACGGGTTCCCCTCTAAAGTTAAGCTTGTTATCCGATTGAATGTGTTTAAAAAGTTATCGTCGATAGTTTTGATTTCATTGTTGCTCAAGTCTATATGTTGAACGGGACAAGTTTGTCCGAAAACAGCACTTTTAATTTCCTTTAGCTTATTATTATTTAAATGTACTTTTTGTAAGTGAGTCATATTCGCAAACATATTATCTTCCAACCTTTCTATTCTATTATGCGCTAAATTCAATATGCGTAACTTCAAATTAGTTCTAAACGTTTCATAAGGTAGCTTTCTAATTTCATTATTGCTCAAATCCAATTCGATGAGCAAAGTTAATCCATCGAAGGCTTTGTAATTCACATCTTCTATACTACAATTGGTCAATTTGAGCTTATGAACATCGCTCAAGTTTGCTTTGGAAAACTCTCTAGATTTTAATTCATGTAGTTTATTTTGAGAGAAATCGATTATTCTTAATTCGCTACTTAAATCTTCCGGTATACTTTGATAATTCGAATTTTTACAATCGGCATATTTTTTACCATCAGCCCATTTACATCTACACCGACCGCATTGCGTCGTCCAATCGGTATCTTCAGCAGAAATATACGTCGTTAAGAGATAAAAGAGAAGTATTGTTTTTGATTCCATTTTTTTTCTCTTCAAAGAAATCCACCTGAAAAGAACACGAAAAATAATAATTATTTTTTAATATCTAAGCTAAATGGGATTTTTAATTAAGCAGAAACGGCTTCGCTGTTGTGGCTGCGAAGAAGAATCTTGGGGTCTTGGTAATGATAAGATTAGAGTTATTAGTCGAAATCTCTAAATAATTCAAAGAGCACGCCGAGAGAAGATGCCTTAGTCTTAATAAAAGCCGGGCATCCCAAGAGATTACGGAAGATTCGCCATGCATAGCTTAGAAGACTGCCTTCAATAATTTAAGCCTTGGCCGGTGTTTTGTTCCGCTTCGGGGTTTATTATAGAAACATAAAAGCGCATAAAATAAAAAATTTTATGCTTAAAAATAAAATTTTTATTCTTAAAAATAAAAATGTACAATATCTAGTCGTGAATACGATTCTTTGCGTAATTAAGCTCTTTCTACTCAAGAAAACAACCCCTGTGGAGATTTTTTTTACTTCTTCGTGTTAGTGCTTTTATAAGCAAAGCACGAGTCATTTTTCCTTTAAACACGACTATAAATTTTCAGTAGCAATTAGTACATGTTACGTTATGCAAGTGTAATTTATTACCACTTGATTTCTTTCTACGTTCATGAAATACAAATTGTTTTTTAATTTTTCGAAAATCTTTCAAGATAATTAAATTCAGCTATTTAAAACTATGCGGTGTTCTAAAACTTTTGGGGCTTATTATTTGTTGTAACGCGATTTTTTTGCATAAATTAATTTTTTTGTTGCTACAAACTGGAATTCAAGAGTGATCCACATTATATAGATAAAGGAATGACTTCCACAAAGTCGTGGAAGTCACACTTAGATAATAGAGTCAAATCTGCCCTCTGGATCTACACGGCTGTGATACGACCTATGCTCACTTATGGTGCAGTAGTATGGTGGTCTAAAACCTTACAGATTACCGCCACTACCGCACTAAATAGAATACAGAGACTTGCGTGTATGTATGTTACAGGTGGCATGAGGACGAACTCCACTGCGGCCATGGAAAACATGTTAAACTTGCCACCTCTACATTTATATATTCAGGAGGTGGCGCTGATTACCATGTTGCGACTACGGGAAGTAGGACTTTTCAAGGGAAGTGCAGCACTTTGGAAGGAGGCGTTGATAAACACACCTCCATTGGAATGCTGCACGGACTATATACCGGCTAAATTCACTTTTTCTACGAAATACCTCACCCATTGTGGTTCCACAGAAGTAGATGGAAATAACCCCCTTAAAATCTACACTGATGGTACGTATAGACGGACTGGTGCAGGAGCGGGAGTATTTTCTAATGATTTACAGCTCCGTCTCCTCATATCACTTGGAGAAGGCATCACCGTCAAGCTGGCGGAATTAGTTGCTATAAAAGTTGCTGCTGACTACATTGTTAGCTCCAATTATAGAGGTAAGACTTTTACAATCTTTACCAACAGTAGACAATCTGTTTTAGCTCTAAGCAAGGATAAATTTACCTTTGCGCGGATTATTGATTGTCATTTCCTGCTTGAAGAGGCGGCAACACTAAACAGTGTTACAGTACAGTGGATAAAGGGACACTCGGCTTACTCGGGGAATAAGCACGCCGATAGGCTGACAAAAAGGGCTGCTGGGAAAGTGTGCTGTTCCCCTTTGCCGACAGTTGTCCCTTCTATGGTATCTCATATTGAGTTAATCAAAAGCCTAACCTGCAAAAAGTTCCTTGACTGGTGGGATAGAGTTAAAGGGTGCCAGTTAATTAAGCAGTTATTATTTTATCCCTCAGCTGACGCAGCACAGTAATTTGTAAGGCTGAGTAAGAGCGCCTTACGGGTTATTACGGGACTTGTTACAGGTCACTGTAAGGTAAATAAACACCTTTATAACATAAAGTGTGTTGACAGCCCTCTCTGTCGTGCTTGTGAACAAGACGACGAGATGGTTTATCACATCTTGTGTTCGCACCTCAGATTAAGAGTGGTCGGGGAAGAATGGCCTACTACGGATGACGTCAGAGACACACTGCTGAGCTGTATCCTAGCCTTTGGTAACTCCTCAGGCTGGTCGATATAACCGGAGTGAGTTTTGGGAGGATGCACAAAGGGCCCGTTGGGGCCTAAGTGCTGCGTATGTTGCATGCCCTCCCTTTCTCTTACATATATACATACATATAGATAAAGGAATGTTGCAGGTTTGATCGAGGTTCATAGATTATTGCTTGGTGATATCAATAACGATGAAGCTAAGATGTTGGAAAAGAACAGAATAATATTGATATCAGATATTATGTTGGGAGTTGTCAAAGACTATGTAGAAGGGTGTCTTAGACGACGTTAAAGACAACCAGGGATGTGTTATGGACGATATTACAAGACGACGAAAACAATGTCGAGATTGACCAGGTACAATTTTGAAAGATGATGAGAGATATTCAAGATTAAACTATAGCAACATTAAAAACGATGTAGGTAGATCAGGAAAATGTCAAAAAAACTAAGATAGCATTGAGAAGTGACAGGAAATACGTTGGGAAATGTTATAAACAATGTGAATGTAGATGATCTTGATGAAGCTAATGTTGAGGTGATATCAGTAATGATATTGATAGATGATGAGACAGATGTTGAAGAAAGTTCGGGACAATGTCAACAGGTATAAGAAATCATATTGTTGGCCACAGTACAGTGTTAAAAGACGTCGGGGATGATATTGAACGATGTCAGAAACAAAGTTGGGGTGATGTAGATGCTACAATGCCATGGAAGACTAAAGATGTTTTAGGACGATATTAGAAATAAAGTTAAAAATGTCAGAAGCAAACGTAAATAGGTGATGGTAAAGATGTTGAAGAAAACCATAATAGTATTGAAAGATGTAGGTAGAGATAAGGAATCAGAGTTGATTTTGAGAGATTTCAGGAATAACTTTAATAACTGGGTACATTGTAGCTTTTATTCAATTTTGTAAATATCTAAGATACAATATCTTTCTACTTGTGGTGTTATGTAGAGAGATATCAGAGAGAAGATCTTAACAGAAATCGGGACAATGTCAACAAGTATCAAAAATGATATTGATGGCTACAGTGCAGTGTTAAAAATCGTCAGGGATGATATTGAACAATGTCAGAGACAAAATTGGGGTGATGTAGACAATGCCACGGAAGACTAAAGATGTTTTTGGACGATATTAGAGATAAAGTTAAAACATAACAAGAGCAAAGGTAACAGGTGATGCGAAAGATGTTGTAATATAGATGTGAGGCATTGTAGAAGGATGGTCTGGCGATATTAAGAAAGAACCGGAACATTATCGGTCGATATCAAGAACAATACTAAGAGATGTCAGTAATGATGATAAGATGTTGAAAGATATGAAAGATTATGTGAAGAAATGTAAAAAACATTCCCCTCAGGGATAGCATAGACAATGTTAGGGGATATTAAGAGTGATACTGAGAAGCTGTCAAAGATGATGCTGATAGATATCATCAAAGATCTTGAGAGATCAGGGATGATCCTGATAGATAATGGAGATGGTCTTCAGAAAGGCCAAGAAAATGCAGATGACAAGATTGAAGCATGCTGTAAGCAATGGCGAAAAAGTTCAAGAACGATGCTGGAACAAAGATATTGAGGAAGGCCAGAAGAGCGAACTGCAGAATGAAAATGACGATATTGGAGGATATCAAGAACGACTCTGAAAGATGTAAGTAATGATATGAGAGATATCAGGAATAATGTTTACCAAAATGAAGGTCGATTTTGATAGATGATAATAAAGATCTTTAGAGAGACCAGGACAATATTAAGAGCAGTCATGAATGTATTGTGGGATGTTTTCGGCGGTATAAGAGACGATCTTCAGAGATATCAGGGTAATGTTGAATGATAGAAAAGATGTTGGGGGAAACTATGGCAATATTAAAATATATCAAGGATAGCGTAAAGGGTCGTTGTAGACTATGTTAAAGAAAAGAAGCGACAACGTTGCACAATAATTGTTATTGGGAAGCATCAATAATGGTGTTCAGAAATATTAGGGATGATGTGTAGCGATATCATCATATTCATATATGATGAGAAAGATATTGATGAAAATCAGGACAGTATTGAGTAATACAGGATATTGAGATACATCCGTAATGATGGTGAGAGATATCAAAAATAATTCTTGGCGATGTCAACAACAACATTGATAGATATTGTAAGAGACCAGAACAGTGTTGAGGAAATCTCTAGAGAATCAAAAGTGGCAAATTTTTAGGACATACAACAAACATTCTATGGTATGTACAAACTTGCGCACGGCAGAATTGTGTCAATTTGTTTATCTATACAGAAGTTGTGAAAGTGTTATAAAAGCATTCTAAACAAATAAAAAAAAATAGATTAAGTTAGTGTTCAAAAGTGAACCTTATCATTGTTTAATAATAATTTAATAAGTTGTTATCTCGATTATAAGATTGACTTACTTCTTTATTAATTTTCGAGTAATCTGTTGTGTGCGATTACGTTTTACAACAATGGTGAGAAGTGTGACATACAATCATTAAATGTAAGCGAGCACAAAAATATGCTTGGGTGTTTCTAGTTATTTTCAACAATACCCAAATAGATGTAACCTTATTATGCATTGTTTTATACCAGGTATAATCGTTATTAAATTATAGAAGGACCATGTCATCAATTACTGCAATTTATTACAGAAATAATGATTTTACATTTGACGTATTTTGAGCAGATGAATGTCGATTCACCAATAACAGTTTAATTAACCACAATACCATTAATTAGTAAGCCACGGAAAACACTCGGATTCATCGTAGAACCAGGCATCAAGTGCGGTTTGGATTTAATGACTGATACAGTTTCAATGACAAACATCAAATAGAACCAATAATATACAGGCTGTTTCTGTAAGTCGTGGCATAATTTTAATCACAAATACTAGAGTTAAAATGATGACGATTTGTGTACAAATTTTTGGTCAATCGTTGTCTAATTGC